CCCTAGTTCCCTCAGAGAAAAGACGTCTGAGTTACTGGGTTCGGCTGCCCTTTCTCTTATCTGAGCAAGTCTGTCTGGTTGAAGACGTTCTTGTCTTGCCCTCAGCTTGGCTGGCAGACTGTTGCTGCTTGTTCTCGTAGAGAACTCATGCGCTAATCTTTTAATCACTGCTTGAGGGTCATGATGTGTGCACTTCAGGGCTGAGCGGCTGGTAGCTCGCCTGACCCATAGCCATAACTTTTTGGTGATCGAAGGACTCGCACTATTCCAGCCACTTTTCCTGCCTGACTCTGTTGGCAGTTTCCTTGGCATCCCTGACAGCCTACCTCCCTTAAAATACCAGGTGTCTTTGTGACTCCTGGACCTAGGCCAAGTTTTGGGTATGGTCAGTGAGGTTGCTTGATTAATGGCATTTACAAGTCTGGCTTCAAGCACTTCCACATTTTCGCCTTGTCTGGATTCATTGCATCTCAGACAGTGGGCCTTGTCTGTTTTCCATCTTGGATTTGGTTGTGGCATTTCGGCTGGGCCAGCTAATCCTCTCCACCAGAGTCACAGTGGCCAAGGTGAGGTTTAGGACCCCTCCTCTGGCCAAGGTGAGGTTTAGGACCCCTCCTCTGACATGCGTTGGCTCTTGGGTATTGAGGAGAGCGATCTCAGGGAATGTTTCAAGCACATTGGCTATGTGATAGCCAGTCGCATCTGGTGCCCAGCAAGGAGCCAGGATGGGGTGGTGTGCATTGAAGTCTCCCCCTACAATCACTCGGTCATGTGCAGCAGAAGCACAGACCTGGCTGGCTGTACACATTGTACAGTTTGAGGGGCCCCCCTGATCAGGTGAATCTTAACGGAAAGAGATTCAACATCGTCTCCACAGTACAATGCATTGGCTATTGCAGAGCTGGGGATTGTTGCTCTGACAAGCGTGATCAATCCTCTCTAACCAGGTGGTTGTGATACCCTGAGAAGTGAGCATTGTCCACTGTTAATGTCTCCTGGAGCATGACAATGTCAATGTTCCTTGACTGCATTATTGCCTGGAGAATGTCATTCCTTGTGGAGAAGCCATTGATGTTCCACTATAGGATGTTTAGGTTGTGTGTCATGATAGTACTCGGTGATAGTTACATCAGAGACATCGTCGTATTCGGATTAAGAGTCAGAGGTGTTGCAGTCTGACAACTCCATTGCGAAGTCCTCGCTGGTTGAGTTTTCATCTGTTGTCAGGGTATATCCTTGGGTCCACTAGGGGGTGGAGAGACTTTGATAGCTTTGACTTCAGTTTGACCCCGACAAGCTGACGTCAGCATATCAGTAATCATTCACAGCTGAGTCGACTGAGAGGGGCGGCGACCGGGCGCGAACCCGGGACCTTGCGATTGCAAAGCCAGCGCTCTACCACTGAGCTATGACACCCTCAATCATTCACTCATGCAGCACATTAAATTCATTCAGCGCAAACATACAAACTCTCCCTCATTACACTTGGAAGCATTCGTTCAAAGCAAACATCCAAACACTCACTCAACACACACAGAAGAACTCA